CCAACGAGAACGAGTTTCGCGGCGTGGTCAACGTCGAGTCGTTTGTCCTGGAGAAAGGCACGGGAAGTGCGCTTGAGCTCCCTACGGCGTCTTGGCAACATCGGTGCCATAGTCCTCGATGGCGCGTGCAGTACGGTCATCCTAGCGACTCCAATTTCGATCGACATTGCCTCTGTCGTCAAGGCTTCGAGATTGGACACTCCAGTCAGTGCAATTGGGCCGAATGACTAGCCTCCGTTCTACTCGCGTTGTGTCGAGTGCGAGTCGGTACACACTTGTGTTGATAACCTTCGACTTACCAAGTGGGAGTGTTCCCCAGGGGCGAATGCTCTACATATCGTTTTGCCCTTGCCCGCCAATACTTCTCTCGCTACCAACGCCACACGAACAGACATTCCGAACACTGTCGACAAGCACCAGTGTGAGAAGACAAGTAGGACGGCTGCGCGTACAGCTCGCGTCGTCGATGCGCCGCCTTGATCAATTTGACGGTGGTGCTCGCGTTCCATGGAATCGAGGGTGTGAACGACCGCGCGCCACCGACGTTGGCGGCCAGATGCTTACGTCCGACAAAGGCGGCGCAATCCATGTGGAGCTGTTCAATTGAGCACAGTCGTACACACACGAACAGTCTCGGCGCTTCGCGGCCGTTCGCTCCCTCCATGAAACGGGAGCACCAACGTCCAGTCGATCAAGGTGGAACCAAGGCAGGCAGTGCAGCAACTACTCAACCTCAGCGCGCCGGAGTTGCTAGGTTCCTTCACAGTCTTCCAACACCAACAGCATTTCGAGTACTTCTAATCGTTAGCGTGCTGGAGCCAACGAAACGTTGTCGTGCTTTGGCCATCGTCGGTCATGAGTAGCAGCACGAAATGACCAGGAAAAAAATCATGCGCACTCAGCTGGCTCTGAAGCAACGCAGACCTTATGCCGTCTTCGGCGCACCGACCTTCCGACTCCATGTTTCTTGGCAACAGCTTTGCTGCGATCGGATTCGACAAGACTTGTCCGCGCCATGCACATCAAAACACACGAACGAGCCCCGATCGATCAAATGCGCATCTGGCATTGCATGGATAAGGTTGGGGTCGTCGAAAACTCGACATGCTGCTTGAAGTTTTCGTTGTAGTTCAAAAAGTCGTGGAACTGAACGTGAGCATGTCGGCAACGCCAGCCTTGCCTTGCTGGTGGCAGTCGCGGCCGTGGTGGCCATCGTGGGAGCACACGCTGCATTCATGTTCCCCCGTCGCATGCGCCGACGCACCACACAGCAAGCATCCCTCCGCCCGGTACGGAACGACTTGGCCATGTCGTCACCGCGGCGCGTGGAGACGCGGCATCGATGTTGTTGCGGTCTGTTCACACAATGCACACACCTAATTGGGTACGATGCTGAATCGACGTATTTCGAGCACACGAACGTACCATCCGACAAAACACTCCAACAAACCAAAGCATCCCCACGACCCAACACCCAAACCGCATCGTTCAATCGGTCGCATACCATGGCACGTACTCAGATGTCATGACGCTCGACTGTGTCAACGGTGCTTGACAAGGCAGCGCAGCGGTAATGCACACTCTCTATCGGCCGTGGCGCCGTAGGCAAGGTCAAACAGCTCGTCCTCGAGCACAGGCATCGTGAAAGACCTGACGGCAAGCTTGAAGATCGCAACTGAACAAATCGTTGCTCTGGAAGGTCCGCTTCTGTTCTACACGTTGGAATGGAACTGAAGTTGGATGCAGGCGACGTCAGCGCCAGAATTGCCGCCGAGGGTGCGA